AGGGTGAAGCATGATTTTATGGTTTTCAATTGCGCCAAAAAATCGCCATTTTTCAAGTTTCTTCGTTTTTTTCTGAAATGTAAATAAATCTTTTATATAAAGTTGAATGTCTGTTTGTCTGTCTGTCTGTCTGTATGTCTGTACGTATGTTCCGAATAGAAAATTCCATTTCTGGACCGATCCGGACCAAACTTGGCACACATACACTTCGGGCCCCGGCGGGTGTCATAGGCCACTTTTCATCATCGATCGATATCGATTTTATCGATTTTTATCGATTTTTTGCAGAGTTCACGTACGGGGCTGGGGGTAGGCGCAGGGGGTAAGTGAGCATGGGGACACCGAACACAGTATTAGTTTTTTAGAATTATTGATTACTTTTATGGATTTTATCGATTTTTTGCAAGGTTTGAGCTACGAGGCTGGGAGTCGGCACAGGGGTTAATCGAGCATGCTGATTACGAATATGATAATGACAGGGCCGGGCGTAGCCGGATAAGTCAACTAGTCTCATATACAACGTATCGTTCAAAATAGCTTGAAGAGCTTTTGCGAGTGGTGAGCCATTTGGTTTGAGACTTCGCGGTATAACAGGTTGAAGTTGGGAATGCTCAAAAAACCCTGTGCGAGTTCTTCGCGGCGCCTCGCGTACAATTATGGAGGAGGAGCGGTAACGCGTTGTCAGAATAATTGGCGAAGGTTGGTTATATTAGGTCGTCCTAAAAGTATTTTCGTTTTTTTCAAAGAATCGCCACGATCCGCAGAACAAACTTCCTTAGAAGATCTTGGAATCATTCGATGCAGTTTTTTATGCTCTATCAAAAAAGGTTATCTTTACGTTGCAGTTTAACGAATGAGCTCTTAGAAAATAACCAAAAAATGCGACCCACGCTTTTTACCAAGGTCAAGTTTCGCTATTTTTCTAAATTCTCATACTGATTCTCCGAAGAAGCCCAAATACCCTGCGGATAGAGCAAACCAAGTAGGATACACAACAATTTCCGCCCCTTCCAAATCTTACTTTACAAAATTTTTAAAAATCCTTTTTCGATGCTATCAAATTCTATATTTCGTCAACTTGAACCTCACAGAGCATCACTCGGAAAGCAACTCGGTGTTATTCGAAGCAGCACCTTCTCCTCTTTCGGAGGCATGTTTTTTGTTTTTGATTCGTAAACTTTTAGAGGACAAAATCTGTCAAAATTCATGTTTTTGATGGCGCCCCAAGATGTACCCGAAAAATTCAAAATCTGATATTTCGAGCCTGGAAACGCCCATTTGTCTTGTAAAATTATTAATGAATCTTAATCTATCTTTAAAAGAATCAAAAACTGAGAATTTCTTAGAGTTTGGCGAGTCTTCGTCTGGTATGGGTCTGCTAAAATTTGATAGTGTTGTTTGAAATTTTGTCAAAAAATTATGCAGAGCTCTGGGAAGACAAAAGAAATTGTTTTGTATCCTACTTGGTCTGCTCTACCCGCAGGTTACTTGGGCTTCTTCGGAGAGTATCAGTACAAGAATTTAGAAAAATAGTGAAACTAAACCTTGGTAAAAAGCGTGGGTCGCAGTTTTTGGTAATTTTCTAAGAGCTCATTCGTTAAACTGCAACGTAAAGATAACCCTTTGAAAGAGCATAAAAAACTGCATCGAATGCTTTCAAGATCTTCTAAAGATGTCTGTTTTGCGGACCGTGGCGATTGTTTGAAAAAAGCGAAAATACTTTCGGGATGACCTAATATAAGCGAGTTTGAGTTGCAACCTACTTGTTGTGGTGGAAACATAAAAAATCTCAAAATGTAATAAAAATCAAGCTGCCCCATTTTTTAACATTCAGCCTATTAGTATACCATTAAGAAGCTTTTTTACATGCTGTATCAACTATGGTTTCAGAACTTCATTGCATTTACTTTTCTGGCCAAGGTTCGAACGCAAATGAACGGCGCTCCTTCGGAAAATCAGCTAATGTATGCAGAGACTGTCTACTTGATGCATGCTTGACTAATTTCTCTCAAATTTTGTAAATTGAGCCTTGCTGTCTTTCTATAACCCACAATCTTTTAAAAAAGATCGCAGTTCTGTACATTTCTGTAAGGGTTAAGGTCCTGTTTACACTTTTTGTCAAAACAGCTGTTTACTGCTCAGAAGATCACAATTTTATGGCTCGGAACTTTGTCAGCTACCAAAAAGGTAAAAATGACAATCTAACAATAAGTTGAAGAAGGCGACGAGGCCGAAACGTAAGACCTAATGAAGAATTTGATAACCTTCGCACAAGGCTTTACAATCAATTCAAATGTGACAACTTTGATTTTTTCTTTTCGCAAATCGCCTCCGTACAAACCCTTTCTATTAGGCTGTCCGGAAATTAGTGCAGGTTTTGAATTCCAACCGCAATAAGTCACACTCTTCTCATTTCTAAGTACGTTACAAGGTACCGTTCGATAGAGCAAAGTAAGCTCTACCAAATGGCCATCTTGCATTAACAATAGCTCTGATCCACAACGAGTTTCGCGCCAAAAACTAAAAACATTCAAGTGCCCGAAAAATTGAGAAAAATTGTAACTCAGTTCTCAAAAATCCTATAAAAATTCTAACTTGCTCCCGTAAGCATAATCCACATAGAGCATCTATATGCGCCGTTGCCGTATTTTTTCTCTGTTAAAAATAAAGAAAACGGAAATTTTTGTGCATTTGCCAAAGTGATGCTGTGCCGCCCAAACATAGGTAGTTGTATACCACAAGCTTGTAGAAGTACAGGCTTAAATTTTTAGCTCTCTACAAGCTTTATTTCTCTAGAAATGTGAATTTTAGCTTGGACCACATGACTAGGGAAAACTGTATTCGATATTTCTAAAGAATTAAAGCTTGTAGAGAGCTGGAAATTTAAGTTTGTACTTCTACAGGCTTGTGGTATACAACTACCTATGTTTGGACGGCACAGCATCACTTTGGCAAATGCACGAAAATTTCCGTTTTCTTGATTTCTAACAGAGAAAAAAATATGGCAACGGCGTATATAGATGCTCTATGTGGATTATGTTTACGGGAGCAAGTTAGAATTTTTATAGGATTTTTATGAACTGAGTTACGATTTTTCTCAATTTTTCGGACGCTTGAATGTTTATAGTTTTTGGCGCGAAACTCGTTGTGAGTCAGAGCTATTGCTAAAGCAAGATAGCCATCTGGTGGAGCTTACTTTGCTCTATCGAACGGTACCTTGCAACATACTGAGAAATGAGAAGAGTGTGACTTATTGCGGTTGGAATTCAAAACCTGCATTAATTTCCGGACAGCCTAATATCTTTTTTGTCCTACTGGTTTGCGTCTACAAGCTACACTAGCACTTTAATCAACAATTTCTAAACGGAGTTATGACATGCCTACAAAATTGAAAAAAATTTTTTGTTATTTAATCCATATTTTTTTGCTCGTTTGTGATGTGTAGATGAATGTGCGCTATATAGCAAAAAGTTTGCTGCCTTCAAAGGCTTTTATTGACTAAGAAGTATAGATTATTCAGAAAGTCAGCACGTCAAAGTGAGAACTCGCAATACCGCCTTTTTACTGCATCAACCTAACAGGAGCAGATTTTGGACTGGTTTTCAATTTTCTTCACAGTGGTATGGACTCATAAGGGAAGTTTGCTTAGTCGAATTGGCAATTCGGAATGATGCGTGCCGATGGATAGAGCTTTTAGCGCTGATGCAGACTTACCTTCTATATCCGCGAAGCATCCTTTCGCAAGAAATTATGAACTTTTTCTAAGCCAAATTTTCGCGCTTTTTAGTCGTAAAATCACAGTAGTTTCCAAAGAAAAGTGCACAGGCTCAAGCAAACCACCCCATATGATTGTGGGACTGATCTTACATTACATGAACGTTTACGAGTGTTGCCAATTATGTTTTAATTCGTGGGTTACATTTTCCTTTCAAACAACACTTCCTTACAAGTACTTCCCTTGTCATTTGAAAAGGCCATTTCGATTACGAAGAATTCCCGTTAGCTTAGAGAAGCTAAGTTTGAATGCAAGATCACTACGTTTTAGTGAAATGGTTATATAAAACTTTTCTTGACCTTTTAATGAACCCTTTTACATGTGAACAGTTATTTGATTAAAGGCTATATTAATCAATCGAGAACAGAAATCTGGCACACAAGCCACTGTGTATAGTGTAGTTCATGCGACAGAGCGCTAATACATGTTTTGAATATTTAGATTGGACCTATTACATGAATACTATTAGATGAGCTTAGGTGAGATGATGCCCAAGCAGTTCGTATTTGGTCCCTAAATAAGAGCGCGCAACGTTTATGAGGAGAGTACAGGATAGTGGCCGTCATGACGCCGAACAAGGAGGGCCCGCGCTGACATATGCAACAATCGCGCATTTCTTTCCATCACAGCTCGTGATAGTAGTCCGGGGGAGGGGCCTATTGGCGACTTTTTGTCCTGTACCCCAGAATACACAATCAGCTTCCTCTGCAAGACACTTGAGCAGCGGCTGTGTCTCAACCAGAGCTTTCAATGGTCTCCACTCAAAAGCAGTGGCTCGGCAGAATAATAACTTTGAGTTATCCATGTTTCTCGGTCCCCCTAGATGACTAAGTCCAAGACTATGCTTTGCAACTTTAAAAGATATAAATAACCCGCTCCAAACGTGAGAAGTGTTATTGGGTGGACCGCGTATGTCTGTCCTCTAGAGCGCTATTGGCTCGCGGGTAGGTAGGTACGGTGTCTCACGAGCCATCGCGCTCTGGAGGGCGGGCATACGTTGTCCGCCCAAATAGTAGCACCTTTTACGTCTGGAAAAGGCGGGTTACTGGTATCTTTTGAAGCTGCAAAGCACAGCCTTTGACTTAGCTCATACAGTGTAACCGAGAACGGTGAATATCCCAAAGTTGTCATTCTGCCGAGCCGCTGCCTTTGAAATCTGAGAAACCTAATTTTGACTTTGATGTTGAATGGTACTGGTTCTGAACAAGATTTTTGCAAAGCCTCTAGTAGAGTAGAACTATCTTTCGAAATGAATTACAAATGTTATCCAGTAAACTCATATGTAGATGCCAAAGTGTTTATGTAGACGTTTTCAACAAGGGATGACTGTTTCAAAATTCGTCCTTGCTTGTTCTATGATCAACAGTTACATACACAATTCCAGTGTCTGTTGCTGTCGATGTAGCCTCCCCGGCACTTCTGAAGCAAACCGATCTATTACGATAGAATACAAGACCATGACTTACATATTTTCTTGCGCATTTCCAGTTGCATTCAGCGTGACCAAGATCAGGTTTATTAAGACCAGGTATAAAGAATTCGATAATTTTCGCATTTTTCGCTTTTTGCTTTTTTCTCGCCTCCACCGTAACTTGCAATAGGAGCATCAGCATCAGCAATTTCACTAACAGAAGCATGATCTTATCTGGAATGAGATCAGATGTTCTACAGCTATGATTTACGATGCCAAGCAAACGAAAGCTTCATGCAGTTGTTTGAGCTACTAAGAATAAATTGGATATCTGAGAGAAGAAAGATATAGCCGAAGATCTGGTGAAAATCTTCGAAAGACTCAGACGTATGAAAGCCCTGGGTCACCTTACTTATTTCTAGGCCCAATCCGGCTGATTGATGTTCACCCTGCGCCGAGAACATAGTCCTGACACCGACGCGCGCAACCCTAGTCGGTGCGCGCTCAAACGGCTTCGCACCTGTTCGGCGCGGGACCCCATGACAGCTCAGGGTCCGCGGGGGTGGCGTTTTCACAAGCTGGATATCGTTTTTTGCCCGAAAAAGGGACCCCAAAATACGACAATGCACATATCATTTTTCTATTCATCATTCCTTGTTGATGCTACTGTGCTCTGAACTTAGATTCCAGCAATGTGAAGATTCTGTGCTCCGATCGCTAGCCTGCCAGCAGGCGGGAATTCAAATCGCAATTCTTATAAGAGGAAAATAACAGAATAGGCTCGTTTTCGATGCACAAGTAATGATATGGCACCAAATTTGCTGTATAGTTGTAGGAACATGAGCACAAAAAAAAGTATGAGAAATTATGCGAAACTTCTGTGAATTTAAAAAATGGTAAGTGTTTTTCGAAATTAGGTGGCTCCCGCGCCACCTGGAAGCAACCTGGGGTGGCTCCCTGCTTTGCTTCACATAATTCGGATTTCTTTACATAAATGTGGACTAGGTCGAAAGTATTACTATATGTTCGAATCCACTTCCAAAACCACCAAGGCACCGCTTCGATACAGCCCCAAATAGGGTTTAAGCGTTATGGGCCTCAGAAAGCGCGCTCCAATCGCAGTCGGTTATTGTAAATTGTAAAGTTTCGCAGCTGACTAATAAATGAGTAGAATCTTAGATATATAAACGTCAAAGTTTGTGCAAATCTTGACCTTATGTTTTTTTTATAGATTCCTTTGCGGATGAACCCATTGAGTTGAAACCTTGAAAACATATGTTTTCGGCCTCGGTAGATGGTTTTAAGCTACTCTTCTAAGCAATTCGTGGAATTCTTCTATCGATTTAATGATTTTTGGCACCTTGCAAGGAAGGTGAACACTTACCAGCCGCTAACAAACTGCTTGCACATTTTGGTGTGAACAATGCAGTGAAGTTCATTAAAATTAGGTGCAGTCACTCCAATAAGCCTTTCTAGGGTAAGCTCGTGCAGGAGGGTAAAGGGGAGGGGTGCGGTGCAGTATTGATACTGCAGAAAAAGGGTGGAGAATATGGCCCAAAAGGGCGGGAAGGTAAAAGAGCAATGTGTGGTTTTTGGCCATCCCCTCAAACGATGACCCGGGCTGGACCATGAAAGCCAGGTAGTACTACTATAATAAGCGCTGAGGCCGCCCATCTTATTATTTGTGTATATCTATTTGTCAGGGACTTACGGGAGTCAAAAATAGGGTCAAAGGGGAAGTCGTAAGAAATTTTGGCTTCAAAGGGGATATCGTTTTCAAAATTCTGAAATGCCACCTCCTGCCGGGCCCTGTGACAGCTCTTGCATTGTGCATGCCATTCAAAGCAAAAACTACAGGCGACAGGGTCTTCGTGCCAGAGTTTTCCAACTCTCCATAGAAACTCTCGTGTGACTTTTGTAAAGTGGCTAAACGCTCCAAAAACGGTCTTTCCACCTCCAAAGCTAATTCGCGTTCTGCATGTCGAAAAGCCCTGAAATATGCAGAAATGGAAGCGCAATTTGCTGGGGCACTGCCTTCAAGGAATTTGGTGTGAGCTTAAGCAAAGATATGGTTATAAAGGGTCTCGATCGTTTTGAGTTCGCAAAGGTCTTAAAACTCAAAGAGACGGCCTGCAAGGTTGTTTGTTCGAGTGGGCTTACGATTTGATATTACTAACACACTTGACTAACATTTGAGCGCTTGGGTGCGGACAATAATAGCCATAAGGGGAACAACGTGCACAAACAAATACATTTGATAATAATGCTAGAGTCTGATTTGAGGCAGTTTTATACTGGTGGATGATCGATTGTATTTGTCATGGCAGTTATCCTTATAAGACTCACACTTTTTTGACCGCTAAAGTATGCTGAGGAACCGCTGTCACAATGTCGTATTATGTCATTTTTTTCGGCCGATTCGAAAATTTTGAAATCAACGTGGCGTCAAATCTGGTGCAAGAAGCTTTACGGCTTGCTTAGCTTGGTCTTCACTAAGATTACAGAAAAAACTTCTTTTCCAGCACTTATCAAAGACACTATGACCTGCTTAGTCACAGTATGGCGCAAAATAGACCAAACTTTGAGATAGTATCAGTGTTGAGTAGTTACTCAGGTATGGCCATTGAACTGCAGAACAGGGGTTTACGCCATACGACTATTGAACCATCATCTACTTCACATCTACTTTCCAGAGGGTGTAAGCTTCGGAGAGCAATGCAGTGCTAGACACAATTATTTTCCACTCTCAACATCGAATTTGCCTTTTTGTTGATGGATCTATTTGAAGTTTTGTTGCGTTGTATACATGCAACAAAACTTCAACTTTTGCCATCATTCATCAAAACGGCTCTCAATCTCGTTGATTTGAAACGGTGAAAAAGAGAAATTTTCAAGAAAAGCCTTGATCAGGCTAAGCACTGATATGAATACACTTGCTTTTTTCAGACGCCATTTGCATTTCTTGCATTCCTTGACTCTAAAACAAAAATTCGAAGGATAAACAATCACCTGAATTTTTTCCCTCTCAAAAGCTCTTGATCAATCTGCTTCAATAAACAGCTGGTTTGAGTTTACGAGCTTTTATACATCCACGCAAGAATCTTGAAAGCTTCTGACATGAGCTTTCTTGTTAAAAGAGGTAAAGAACGCTCTTATAAACTTTACGTAATCGCTGATACTGACGGGCAAGCTCCACACCAAAGGGTAACATATTTCCACAAAACTCAATGTTTGATGTTTAGGAAGTGCTGAGATTGATTTATTATATTGCCTAATTAATGATGCGATTCTGCTAAATGTTGTGATGCAATCGCCTTAAAAAAATTACTTTTCGTGAAAATTCTCTGTAAGCAGAGAATGGACATAACCCTCAATCTCCTCTCTGATTTGAATCAGGTTTAGCGAGTTAGTTAAGAGTTACTAAGATTTTGAAGTTCCGAGGGTTCTTCAATTTAACCTGGTGGTCTGTTGTAAGTGAGCAGGGTGCTTCGATCACTTTTCCAAAAATGACAAATGTGGATCCGAAATGCCCAGTGCACCTATTGTTTTTCTAGTGTGCACACGACTCTTCATTTTCGTACAAGTTTTGAGAACCAGCCTTGGGACAAAGAGTGACAATGCCGGTGATTTTAGAGCTTGTCCTTCAACATCAACGATTACGTAAAGTCTATAAGTGCGTTCTTCACCTTAATTAACAAGAAACAAGATGAAGAAATAGTGAGACTTAGACTTATGCCCAATCTACTGCTCAGGGGAATGTTTATGGAAGGTACATAAATTTGAAGGCGCGATTGCATCACAACAGTCTGAGAGTTTTCGCAAAACCGCTCATCATATAGGCCAGGTAATAAATCTAGCCAACACTTCCTAAATATTAAACATCGAGTTTTGTAGAAAAGTGTCTACTTTATGGTGATTTTGCAGCTGTTCTTCAAAATCAGCGATTACGCGAAGTTTCTAAAAGCGTTCATCAACTCATAAAAAAGCTCACGAGATTCTATGACTTCTGCGTGGCAGGTGAAAAAGCTCGTACCTCTGCAAATCAGCTTTTCGTTAAAGCAGCTTGACTCTCAATGCTGTCAAAAGCAAAAACTTCACGTGACTGTTCATCTTCGATTACGACGAGAGGTCGGAGGTGTTGCAAATGTTTCCCACTTCGAGATATAGCTGTACAAAAAATTTGAGGGTTAAAGAAGCAATGATGGTTGAATCAAGCAAATGGGTTTTAAAAGTGTTTAGTTTGAAGCAGTGGACTCGACAATCTTCCACAAAATTTTTTGCTTCCTCGGGGCAAATCGACGCTAATCCCGAAAATTGTACTTACATAGTACGGAAGGAAGTAAACCAGCCTTTCCCAAGGCCCATCATACTCGGATTTACAAGCTAAAGACGAGCTTGATCGCGTTAAAGGCAGCGTTTGGGCAAAATTTCCCCTTTTTAGTTTCTGCCATTCTGGGGCCATTCCGTGGCTCTGATTACAGTTGTAAAGTCCAAATTGTTCGAAACTCCCGAAAAGCCGATTCTTGGGGACCCTCTCTTCAAGGAGAGGACGAGTTTCGAATTGCTCGTTATCATCGTCATGCCAGCGGAAGGAGCTGCATGCATAGATCCAGTGTGCAGTGCAACTGCAATGCAACTACAATGCAACCCCACACCTGCGTAAGCACTCGTCCTCAGGGGTGTTTTGTGATACGAAAGGGCGGCTTGTGATACGTAACCAGACCCGTATCTCCTTTTAGAGAGCACGTCAAAGAATTGGATTAACGCAGATTGGATACTCATGGGCCTCTCTTTACAACTATGTGCTAATCTGGGTGGATGGATCTTGCCCGAACGCTGCCTTGAAGACTTGAGAGCAAGGGATGGGAGGAAGTGGCTCTTGAAATTTGAGAGGAGGGGGATGTAGGCATCATATGCACTGTATTACCTTCTGGTTTTTAAAATTAATTTGCTATCATCTGTCTATCAAGACTTTGAATACTAGGTTTTCCCAAAAAAATTCCGCCGCATTTTCAGAAAAAAGAAAACATAACTTTTTCGTTTCTCAATGGATTCCTTAAAAAGAATCCCATATAAAAGCACGAATCGAGCTCTTCACAGGATTTTTTGAAAATGCGGAGCAAATAGTAAGTTGATGCAAAAGTAATGGCCGTTGCATACGCTACGAAAGCATATGAATACAGGAGTGAGGTACCATTCGGTAGAAGGAAGCAAGCTCTACAAAGTGGCTACGAA